TTATAAGACCTTATAAAGCTAATTATCATATATACAGATTAAAAGCTAGACTAATAGAAAACAATGTATTGTAATCCAACACAGACAGTATATCTAAAAGTGTACCTTGATTTAGCACAATTAATTGTCTTACAAGTTTTACATGTTCTTTGTTCTGTTACACCATGCATTTTTAAATTAAGTGTTCTACAAATATTTTACACAGGATTCTACATTTAAAATAGTACCAATTAGGTTTCACATAAAGGCATGCACTTTGAATAATAATTGGTACTTCAAAATGTAAAACAACGGTAAGTGCATCCTAAGTGGGTGGAATTCTACTATAAAAGGACAGAATTCAAAAGGCCAGTGATGTTTTCAAAAACAGTGAGCAAAGTATGGGAGCATAGTGCAAGTTCAGTCAGATGAATAAATCGTGGCCAGTTACAGAGGACCTTAACTATCCAAATAGTGAAGAAGTTTTTACCACATATGATACCTACCTCTGCAGTCTCAGCTTATGCCACTTCCCTCAGGGGCTCACTGCTCTAGTCATTATGTACTTTTTTATACTCTCTATCTAACTTCGCCCTATGTGCACTTGGTGTGGGTGCCTGGAGTGCCCTGATCTTCACATGCCTGGCTCCAATATCACCTCATAGGTCACTTCCATAAGGAAGCCTGGCCTCTAACCACAACTAGTCTCATGCACTACAATATCACTGTATCTTCATCAATCAGAAAGTGCTTAGTATTAACTATTTCTTCTTGCTTTATTATTTCTTTCTTTAGAGAGTAATTTTACAGGTAGAATCTTTGATGTCCTATTCACCATTATCTCCCCAGGACCTAGAAGGATGTCCATTACATATCTTCTGAGTAAATAAATAAATAAATAAATAAATAAATAAATAAATAAATACTGACCAGTTCCTTGACAGAAGAAAGTAAGAGATTCTGTGGAAGGAAGATGAACTAATTTGCTCCCAAAAGGGAACCTAGAAAGTCAAAAATATCTAAATCTATCCCATGGGTTTAGCTCATAGATCACATGATTTCAATCAATGCTACTCTTATTTACAATGATAGACTATCTCCTCTATCTCCTAGACTCTTAAAAATATTAAAGATATTACTAGTTTGACATTGAATTATTTCTTTCTTCACTTAAATTATGAGTCATTGGAACGTATACATTTCAAATTGTTTCCATGTTGCCATCACTTCCATATATATATGCTCACACACACAAATACACACACATACACAAACACAGACAGGACTTGTTGCCATATGTAGCAATTATTCTTAAGCATATATGAACAAAATGATATGAAAATGGTGGCAATCAGTCATCAGAGATGACCGCTACATAGAATTAATATAAAAATATATTTAATATCAGCTTGTATAAAATATTTACATGAAAATTTGACAGATTAAATTCATTTTCAGAGCATACTCAGAAAATGATAGCATCTGACATCAGTGGATTTGATGTAATAATAGTGTAATAATAATACTTGAATGTATCTTAAAAAGAATTTACAAGTCAAATTAGGGTGATAAATGTTAGTGTCATAGATATTTGCAATTCCTCGGTATGAAAAAAGCTTTGGGCTCATGTCTAATATTTTTGATGATTGAGCTATAAATACTAAAGTTTAGCCTTTGTATGGTATGTTTATTCACTTTCTGATAATGGCAAAAGTAGTACCATGAACAATTATACTTCATAGCTGAATTTTTATCATTCATTTTGGTACTAGTGCAATATTTTTTAATTAATGAATTAAATGATTTGTACATGTGTGTAGTACATAATGTTTGCATTCTTGGTGTGGAGTTGGCAAATCTACATAGCATATCACAGTTCCTTTTGTTCATCCTTTATCCTTCCACCCCATCTCTTGGTCTCCTTCCCCTTTGAAAATGAACTCCTTTATTTTGCTCTTTACTTTTTACTCTGGGTTTCTCATAGAAGAGAAATAATGTGATATTTAAGCTTGTGTGTCTGATTTATTTCACTTAATATTGTGATTGCAAGGTGCATCCATTTTTCTACAAATTTATCTTCCTTTGGGGCAGAGTAGTAGTCCATAGTGTGTAAATATTACGTTTTCTTTAACTTTTCATTTGTTGGCTGATATATTGGCCACTTCCAAGATTTAGCTATTATGAATTGTGCTGCTATAAATATAAGTTTGCAGGGGCTGGGGATTTAACTCAGTGGTTCTGCTGCTTGCTTTGCAAGTGCAAGGTCCTGAGTTTGATCCCTGGTACCAAAAAAAACATGAGTTTGCATGTATCTCTGTAATATGATGATGTCTTTAACTCTTGCAGGAAGATACTTAGAAAGGGACTAACTGGGTCACATGGAATTGCTAGTTTTAGTGTTTTGAAGAATCTCCATATTAATCCATACTGGTGTGCCAGTTTACCTTGCTACCAACAGTGTAGAAGAGTTCCTTTTTTTTCCTGCAGCCTCTCCAACATTTGTTATTATTTAATTTCTTGATTTTTTTCTGTACCTTTTTAGAATACTTTCAATCCCAAAGAGATTATTTCAGTGCAATTTTCTCTTTAACTATTATACCTAAACTTAAAAATAATGCGTCTCTGGAAATATTTAATCCATTGTTTATATACCTCAAGATAATAATTATCCTTTTACCATATAACTTGAAATGATAAAGTGTTCATATAACTAAGTTGCAAACTTAACAAGCTCAACAAAAAGTCTTTTAAAAAACCTGGTACTACATTTATGTGCAGTTGTATTTTACACATGGAATCAAAATGGTTCAGAAATTGATGTTTGTAAATGTTAAATAAAAATTCAACATAAAAAGTACATTGTCTATGAATTTGTCTATTCAACTAGGAAGATATTATGTTAGATATTATTATGATAAGGGAGTGGGAGAAAGAGGGGTTATTATTTAGTTGGGTCAGAGTTCATGTTTGGGTTCATAAAGAAGTTCTGCATAGGAAGTGATGATGGTTGCTAAATAGTATAAATGTACTTAATTCTGTTAAATTTTCTTCTTACAAACGGTTAAAATGCTAACTTTTATGGTTTTTTAATATTTTACCATAATAAAAAATGAAAAAATTTAAAAACAAAAAGTACAGTTTATGCTGATCAAATTTTATAAGGGTGGAAAGGCAAACTTGAAAAGAGGAGAGACTGAAGGGACTATTAAATAGTCTCCTTCTTTAACAGATAAGAGCAAAAGTCCCTAGTTGCTTCACTTATACTTTAGTTAGCAGCAAAACTGGATCTGACTCTATTACATACCAGCCCACCTACTCTTCAATAGATCCAACTTGTCAACCAACTGAGTATACCAGCAACATCACAGATGGAACATTAAAAGCTGCACGAGTAATCATTTCTCTAAATCAGCTCTTCCTTCTCCATTTTGCAATTCAACTACAGGCACCTTTCTCTTCCCTGCACACATAACTTCCCATAGCCAATTACCCAAAGTCATAGCATTTTGATTCTGCTCAGGTCTCACTACTTTTGTTACTTTTTTGTGGCCTGGGCTGCTTAAAATTAGAAGACACCATTTATTCCTGACCTCCTCTCATTGTTAGCCCAGCTGATATCTGACATTCCATGCTCTCCTATTTCATTCCATAGTCTGTCTCATCATTTCTTTCTGTGAAAACCTTACACATTTTCTGAAAAGAGCCTAATACAGCATTTCTTGCTCATATTTTCATGAAAATGTAATTTATTAAGAGTCAAACATGATACATTGCTTTATGTTCCAAGAGACTCTATTATAAAACAGATTCTCATCCTGCTACACCTAGTTTATACATGTATGAGAAAGACTAATATTAACCAAATAATTATAAACCACTTGTGTCATTTCTTTCCAAATACAGCCATGGTGTGAGATGCTGCGTTTCAAGCACAAAAAGTCAACCATGAAAACAAACCTAAAATACTGAAGTTTTAGCAGGTAAGTCGAAATTTATGTGAATGTACAGAGCTTAAGAAAGCATGCAGACTCATCAACATCAATATGCTCCAGAAAATAGAGAACACAGTTTCAGAAATGATTTGCAAAGGCCAGAAAGGTAGAGTAATTATGTTCAGAACTGACTCTTAACTATGTTCACAAGTATGGAAGTGACCTGATGGATCTCATAAAATAAAAGAAATAAAAGAAAATGGGCACAATGGTACATGCACATAATTCCAGCACTCTGGGAAGCTGAGATAAGGGAATTGCAAGTTTAAGCCTAGCCTGGGCACTGTAGAGACTTAGCAAGTCTTTGTTTCAAAAAAAAAATGGGATGGGGATGCAGCTCAGTACAAGGCCCTTGATTCAAGTCTGATCATATTAAAAAAGAAAGAAAATAAAAGAAATCTTTTAAGTATATATATTTTCCATAAAATTGAAAAACTAAAAATTATCAACTCATAATACTAGAATAGAAATCACTGTTTAGTTAACTCTACAATTTCTTATCATCTAAGTATGTGCCTTGAGAGACAAAGACATATACTATATTTTATCTTTGATGTAAACTAGTGGAAATGTTATTCTCACCCTATACAATAATGATACATTCATTAAGTGTTGGTCCCATAAATGAGAAAACACATACAATAAGTGATGCTACTACTCCATGTGTTTGCGCATAGTCTTGTAACTTAGAAGAATGGTGATTACTAGTATCTGCTGTTTTGTAGCATGAGAATGGCATTTGATATGAAACTTGAAGAACTTCAAGACACTGAGAAAACAATGCACTTTTCTTCCTATTAAGTTTATTGGTACATTTTAGGTATACAATACAGTTACATTCAACATTGGGATCATGTACCTTTACATAATATATCTTGGTTCTTATTTTTCCCCCTTCCCCTGCCCTCCCTTCATCCCCTCCACCCTTCCCTATTTACAAAGACTTTGTTTCCATTTTTTTCCTTTTCTCATATTTTTTCCGTTTCCCTTCTTTCCCCTCCCCTACCCCTCCCACTTCCCCTACTCCTTTTAGACCTTTTCTTGCTATTTCACAATATCAATTATACATTTTGATCCTTATTTACACTTTTAGTTTAAGACACCATTTCCTCCAGTAAATTTTGACTAACTTCTTTAAATGTATATTTTGAAATAAAATAATAAGTAATTCTAATGAAAAGCATGATAGTTTTTCCTTTTTTCTAATTAAAGCATAAGTAATGAAATTATTGGGAAAATAAGAAAGAAGACCCAAGGATTCTATGGTCATGTTAAAAAAAGGGGGGGCACAGTGAGAAGAAAGTGAAGAGCAGAAATAGTGAAAGTCTGTAAGGTGGATGAAAGATTTAATATCATACTAGATGATGGGTCAGTTGCAGAGGACTGCAGGTCAGGCAGCATCAGCAGCAATCCCAGAACTTCAGTTGGACTGTAGGCTCCAGACATCCAGGCAGATGTTCCAATAGCAGCAATGACAGCAACACAGTTCTAGCAACCCAGTTGTCAAGTGTATTGTAAACTCTGGATAATACTGCATTCAGTGTTTTGGTCTCACTTTAGTAATTCTGTGTATTGAATGTCTGATTTTGTCAATAGGATTATCTTCTCAAAGTCCCTGGATTCAATATATTTTCTTCTGCTGCTACCTTTGGAGGGCTTTAGCAATTATTCTTTGGTTGACTGAAGTCTATGGTCAAGACTGAATTATATCAAATGATCTTGAGATTCGAAGTTTTCTAATGAGAATATAAAGAAAGGATACAAGGTATAAAGAGATAAAAATAGGGAAGCACATAACTGTATTATGTGTAACCTACCCATCAATCATTTGTCTCCTGAATTTAAGAAGTAGATTAACAAGAGGGGAGGGCATATTAATAAGAGGGTCACTGCACTATCAGAAAATCTCGCAGTTGTTCCCTACAGAGAGAAAAGTGAAAGATGCTGCCTTTGAAACGTAAGTTTCTGGACTGACAGAGGACAAGTGGTTATGCCTCCTCACATATCACCCCAAGTAGGGTAGTTGCAGCTACCATAATGGGGAACAGGTATATAGTAGTAGAATATTTTCATTAACTTGTATATTTAGTGAGAGGAAATTAATTTGTCACTAGAAATAAAATAAATGTTTGGCTTTCTAATTAATTTGCCAATGAATGATCACAGAGAAACACTGAAGCTTGGGAGTGGAGATCTAATTTCACTCACCGCGATGAAAAGTCTCCTATCACCAACTTTTCATTTTTGAGCTAGATCAGAGACTCAGACCCTTTAAATAAAAAACAGACCATATTCATTTAAAGAAGGATCCTGAGATACCTTGCCAACAAAAGTCGGTAAATCTTCTTTAAATTGGTGCTCAAGAGACTCCATAGACTATTTATCCATGTCGCTAGATACACATTAGGAAAAGAAAAGAACATGCATTATTTAAACATATATAGACTCTTTGACTGAGTTGATGTAATTGTTTGAGACATAAAACACTATTGGAGTCTATTGCTCAAAGATGAAGCTTATGGATATTAGCTGATAAATAGAGTATCTGTCTGAGTCTTTCTCTCAGTTGCCACCATGGACTTTCCAAATTTTTCTAAGGTAATTTCCCAAATTCTGAAAACAGAGTTGGAATCTGCAAGTGAGTGTAAACACTTAGAAATTCCCTTCCCTTTCAAAATGGTGAAGCAAATTAAATAACACATACAAAGGAAAGGTAAGTGGAGGGTGGTAGATGTAGAGCTGTTTATCCATTCGGTTTTGAAATTGGAAACCAAATTCTAAGGAGAGAACAGATTGGAATTTATATGGATAAAGTAACACAGGATAAATTAGTGTAATCTACAAGAGAAAAGGTAAGCTCATTTCTCTGGTGAGAGCTGAGGAAGTGGGTCTGGGGAAGGGGATAGCTAGGAGTCCATGAGAGGTATTCGCATACAGGCAGCTCACTTCCTTAGTGGTCTTGAATATAAACATACTCTCCATAGGCAACGCTCCAAATAGCTACCTTAACAATCTTTGACGAAAGTGATGTCTATTTGCCAAAAGCTCCTCTTGAGCGACAGTTTATTTCCATTACCAGCCTGTTTTTTCCTCTAGCCACATTTAATTTCCTTGAATAAACTCATTGTGTTCACCGTGAAGACAACCCCATGACATTAACAAATGGAAATGGTATAAAAGGGCATGTGTCTTGTTAACCACGCTCCCTCAAAAGACTTTGGGGCCCAAGATAGGACCCAGAGTATTACTGTGATTAAATGAAAACTACTCAGAGAAAAGAAACAATTTTAAAATGTCACTCAAGCTATCCCTGTTGGTTTCAACAATCTAGAACTCAGTTGTATGAAGCTGAAGCATATACTTTTTGCATCCAATAGTGCTGATGTCAGAAATATCAGTCAGGATGTTAGCTTGTTAAATAAAATACAAAATTCTTCTTGCAGTTATATCGATAAACATTATAAAATAGAAAATGATTATTTCATCAACATGGCATTTAGTTGTAATATGCTTACAGAATTATATCATAGTGAAATATTGATTGATTGTTTTCATAAAAATAAATCATATACATTATAAGAATTTTATAGTAAATCTTTGGCTACAGTGTAATAAAAATTAAAACAAATTTCTTATAAGATTTATACAGAATCCTCAAAACACAAAACTTGGAAATAAAAATTTAGAAAGAAATTATGAGTTCAGCCAATTATATAAAACATGAGTCCTTAGAAAAAGATTATGAAATATTCAAGAAAGTTAAAAATACCTTTCTAAATGTATGTATGTAGCTACTTCATTTTTGCTGAATTTCTCTTTTTGCTCCAAATTAAAACAATTACTACATAATTGCTACATGAGACATTTGAACATTTGAAAATTGTTAACTGTTTAATGAACAATTTAAAATTAGCAAATATGTATACATATATTGATATGATTTTGCCTGTCTCAAGTATCTTATAGATCCTTTCTTATGTAATAGCCTATTAAACCCTAACAGCCTTATGCAGCAAGGATTATTTTTATATTTTACAACTGAAAATATTGAAACTGAGCAAAATACATAAGCTTAAGGAGTATGCTTCAGTTAACAATTTCTGTAGAATAGACCATATTTGCAACTTGTCCACAGGGTTAGGACCTGCCATGTTCATGTGGGAGTTGATCCCCACTGAGTGTGAGATTTCTCTTTTTTAGTTCTGGCTCTTTCTTAACTGGCACTTAAAAGTCTCTCTGCTGATCTGTCCCTTTTTCTTCATCTTCTCAGGTGTAAAAACAAACGCAACTGGATAACGTAGGTACCAACTCACCACAAGCTGAGCTTGTATTCAAGTAGAATTTTTTATTATTTCATGAGAACAAATGTCTTACTCTGGAAATAGATCGATTAGAAATCTTTAAACACTACCAGAAGAATTTAAAAGAAACATTTCCTACTCTGTTCCTTCTACCGCTATTCAAAGGACACATCCAAAGGGCTAAATAATAACATCTGTTCAAAGAGGACTTTATAAGAAGTGATTTATAATTTTAAAATGCATTTTAAACTGAAGAAGGCTTGAACTCTAGATATGACAGAAAGTAATATTGCCTCAATAAATTCAAATGTAGGAAATATAATATTAATGTAGTATGCAAATACTAAATTATATTAATCATAGGATTATCAGATCCAAGTTTGCTGCTTTGTTAGACTAAAGCTGCTGTTTTATTGATTTGTTTTTCTAAAGATGATTTTCACATGAATGATAACAGCAAATGCATTTATTTACAAGCAGCATGTAAAAATACTTCTTGGTGAACTGGCATTTCCCTCTGTTAAACCGTCATTAGTGAATCATAGCTAGTATCCTGAGTATGTTTTTGTAGTTTACCATAGTGGCAATTTCAAACTGCGCATTCTCAGTTGGTGTCATGGAAACCAAAGCTCCTCAATTTTGTGGCAGGATTATATTTACTGCTTCATGGCAAAGAATAAAAGAAGGTCAATTGGTCCAGACCTGCCCTTGCCACTTGTCAGCTGTTATATTTTAATATAGGGTGCTCTGGATCAGGCATTGCATGTCACATGGGCATGAGGGACATAACTAATGAAAAAAGTCGATGGCTAGTTGTTTTGGAAATGTCAGGGAGAGCTAAAGAAATATCTGAAATGTCAAACTGTACTTGAAATAGGATATACTGATCCAAAGGCACAGAATTAATTTAGGATTTCATACACAAAGACTCTGGAGAAGGAAGGCAAAATCCTTCAGTAATCTGTAAGTCTGTAGTCTACTAGTACTACATTTGATTCAGTTCTTAGAAGTTCTTAGAACATGGAAGGACTTTAAGAGAAGCAGCACTGGTAATTATGGTAGAATGACTGGTAGTTTGAAATAAGATAATAAGGTAATACGAATCCTCCAAATTTTCTAGTTAGATCTCTTTAAAAGCAAGGAATAGACATTTCAATTAATTCAAAAGAGCTTCTATGGCATGCTTAGAAATACCATTGACTCTAACTTGACTAAATATTTAGTACTCTGATGTAATAAGTAAATAATTATCATTTTTAACAGTTTGCAAAGGAATGGAATGTATCCTTCTCTTGCTATCTCCAACTGTAATGAAATGAAACATCACACTTACTACTGCACATTCTGATGATGTCTTCTCTGGGGCATTCTAAATGAGATGATGTCTTTTTTACTTTCCTCATTGCTGGATCAAAATACCAAACATTTCTTTTGGCTCACAGTTTGTAGATATTTCAGTCCATATCCAAATGTCTCCAACACAGGACAGAATAGCATGGAGGCATGGCAGAGAAGAGGGAGAAGAAAGGAATAGAGCAGTAACTCTGAGGATTTGACAAATATCTTTGTAACCACACACACACACACACACACACACACAAATAAAATAATGAAGGTAGCTACACAATCAGAAGCAGAACCAAACTATGGTATGATACAATAGCCTTAAAACATTGTTATTTCTTATTTTCAACTAATGAAAACATGACCTTTAGACTTCCTTGATAGAGAAGTGAATCAGTTTTTCTTTTGGTATTGTTTTCTCTGGCTGAAGCTATTTGGATTTAGGTTCCTGTCACTTGTCGCTAAAGGGCTTCTGGCTGATAAAGTTTTAAAATTTTTAATATGTCTTTAAGGAAACTTTAATGAGTCCATTGATGTCCTATAAAGAGTTACTTTGTAGCCAGAAGTGTTGGTATTTACCTGTAGTGCCAGCTATTCAGAAAGTTGAGACAAGAGGATTCTTCGAGCCCAGGAATCCAAGACCTGCACGGACAACATAGAAAAATCTTGTTTAAAAAAAAGACTCATTTTTTCTTGTGACTAGCATGTCAAGAAGAAACATTTGATTTACATTTACTATATAAATAAATCCTCCCCTCCAACACATTTCATTTGACTCAACATCAAGCCATTTCAATTTTTACAGGGATAAATTCTATTTTCTCTTATTTATTGAACAGGAATCAATTTCATTCTGTTAATTAGTATGCTATCATATCTTCTTGTCACCATAGCTCATCATACAATATTATATTAAAGAAGGGCTAATTGACTGATGTAGTTAGTAGAATTTTTACCACAACTAATATACTAAGAAAATGAGTGGCTTGATTAGGCTACATTAAAGTTATTAAAAATAACTTGAAATAATAGTAATATGTTCATAAACCAAATCATCTTTAAGGATGATCATAATGATGTTTAAAAGAGACAAATGTGAAACAAAATCTCTTTTTTGTAGGTGAAGCTGTTTGTAAGAAGCATTAGCTTATATTTAATGGTTAAGGATATCTTATGCACTGTAGAAAACCCAGAACTCCCCTGTTTTTTAATTTAATTTAATTTTATGATAAGATCTCATTAAGTTTCCCAAGTTAGGCTCAAATTTGTGATGCTTTTTCCTCAGCCTCCTGAGTAGCTGGGATTATAGGTGTGCACCACTGTGAACAGTAAAAGATTAAAAGATTTTAAGCCCAAAAATGCAGGCTTACATACTTGCCCATAACTTACCAGTTGATTTTGAAAACTTATTTAGCCTCTTTTACCTATAATTTTCTCATTCCTAAAAATGATGACAGTAATGTTTATCATTCAGTATAGTGATAAAGATTGAATGATTTGTGAAATCACAAAGCATAATTACAGATGCAAAACAATAAAATAAATAATGGTGTTAGCAATTAAAGCAGTAAGAGATAAATATGTGAAGAAGTTTATAAAGATTCTCAACAATATTTAATGTCTATGACTATACAGACATAAAATAAATGTCTTCAAATGAAAAATTCATGGTTATACAATTGTGCAGTGAGGGAAAAGAAGACATCAGAGAAAATGAGAAAGTTTTAAGGGAAAAAAAGGAAGTCAAAAATTTTAGAAAACTATCACTGATATCTCAGTAGCCTGTGCTAAAGATATGGCCAAATCATATTAATAAGGAAATTAATGAGGGTGTGAACTACAATTTAATCAGCCACCCCACAGGAAAACTGCCTGTTTGAACTGAATAGTAAGGAAAGAGGAAGGAATAAAGGTAGCCTCTGAAAATTACTGGATTTCACAGGATGGGACTCTATTACTTTTTAGCTTCAAACATACCTTGTGCTTTCAGAAAATGGAAAAATAACACTGAAGGCAATTCAGAGATCAATGGGACAACCACTTTGTTTCATAAAGAGGGAAAATCACCCTGTTTTTACTATAGATGGCCTCTGCCCAAAGTTGGGGACTGTGGCTGCAGTGTCCTGGGTCCGGATCCCTGTCAGATAATGTTGTAGAATCAGTACCTCTGCCAGAGTGGACCAGGAAGGCAGAGCCTGGAGCTCAGGAGGATTATTCTAGGGCTTTAAGACTTAATATTGTTTGCCTCATTAGGTTTTAGATTTACCTGCCATCTGTCAGTCCTTTCTTTTTTTTTACTTCTCCACTTTGAAATGGGAATGACTACCAATGACTGTCCTGCGATAGTACTTTGGAAACATCTAACTTCTTTGTTTGCTCAAGTTCAGGGCTGGAGAAGAATTTGCCTAATGAATCATAGCTTCAGTTTCACCCATGTCTGATTTGAATGACACATTGGCTTTATTTTATTTCCTTATTTTACTTAGAGAGGGGCCTTTGGACTTTAAAGTTGATATTGGAACAATTAAGAATTTTAGAGCTATTTGGATGGATTAAGTATATTTTGAATGAAGGAAGGACGTGAGTTTGGGGGTACCAAGTTGAATACAATAGACATTTATCTGCCCCCCAACCAAATTTCAAATATTAAAATCCCAATACCTAAGGAGGCCATGAAGTCAGAAACTTCAGGAAAGAGATTTACCCTAATAGATACTTCAGAGAGTTCCCTTGCCTATTTTCCTTGTGAGACATAGTGAGACTTCTATAAATCTTGCACCACACACAGACTCTGTTGGAATGTAATCTTGGAATTCCCAGCTCCCAAATGGAGAGGAATAAATTCCTGTTGATTATAAACATCCTGTCTACAGTATTTTTTTACAGCATCCTGAACAGATTAAGAGAATCACCAGACATGAGTTGAATGTTGTTTCATATATGAGTAGTTGTGATTTTAAAAATTTATTTTGGTAGTTGTGTGTTTGTACGTATGTGTGTATAAATGTAGACATGCATACATTGGTATATGAGAGTATTACAGAGACAAAGCCAAAGGAACAGAGAAAGAAAATTTGAGAATCTAATTCGTTTCCAATCTGGAATAAATTAATAATTTTGTTATCTTAGTATTGTAGAAGGTTTGGAGTGTGTATGTTTTGTCTTATTTTTTTGTTTTTGTTTTACAGTGCTGGGGATTGAACCCAGCACTGTGCACTGAGCTACATACTCAGCCCTTGCTTTTATGTTTTTTCTTTGGAGACAGGCTCTCCATAAGTAGCTCTGCTGCCTAGGTTGTGCTGAAATGTATGATCTTCCTGCCTCAACTTCCCAGAGGCTGTAAATAAAAAAGAAAACTGTAAAGTTTTTTTTTTTTAAATAAAATTCATGGGAGCCATTGTTTTGAACTGAGATCCTAAGCTAGGGTCCAAGAGATTAAATCAAAATGGGAAGAAAGCATCTTTCAGATATTCTATTAAAAATTGCTTCTGAATTGTACTGCCTCACATTTTTTCCTGGCATTTTATACGATTCATTAACAAGTTGGCTCCTTCTTTATGCCAATCTGATTTACATTTATAGAAACTGCTTGTCATGCTTTTGTAGATAAAATTTTGTTTTAAGGAAAATAAAGAAAATAATTTCTGTAGATGCTTGACAATCTATGTAATATGACTACTTGCTCTAAACTGAGTATTTTTAAGATAATAAATGAAAGCTATGATAAAATTCATAGGCTATTGATTTGTATTTTTCCTTTGTTTTTTTTGTTTTGTATTTATCCTCTTTTGGAAACAATAGCTATTATTTTATTATTTCTTTGCATGTGTACACATTTCAGGTTTGTAAAATTCAAACTTCTGTTCATGGTTACTAGTGTTTTCTCCAAATGATGAGCAAACGAAAGATCCTTAGAGATTCATTTTTTTAAAATAAATTATTTGAGAATTGTTTTTAATAAATTGGAAACTATAACTGTTTAAGCAGTTGATAAGATAATCTATTTTGAGTCAATATTTCCATATCTTAGCCTCAATTTTAATTGAAGTAATTTAGGCCAAAAACACTGAAGAAATGATTGGCAAATGCTATTTATAAATTTTCAAATTTTATTTCAAGTATTATCCATAACATGTTGCCACTTTTTCAAATGAAAGGAGAATGCCTTACATATTGCAAAACACCTAATTCCTATATTATAGCTCTGTGCACATACTGCATAGCACTAATGCCCAGAGCTAATATTATTAAAACATTACCATTGAGAATTCAATGCTATATTTATCACAGAGAGTATACAGATGTCAAATGTAGTGATGATGAGTCTAAAGATATTTTAAATTCTATTTTTCAGCACTTTATTAGCATTATAATGCTACAAGGGAAAACAGATCTGACAGCAACATTATGGATTCATGCAAATTACTTATCACAAATTGAGCAAAATAGCAGATACCTTTATACAAGAGGAAAATGTTCCTAAAAGCAGGTGTATTTGAATTCCTTTATGAATGACAAAAAACACAGCCTGTGAACTCTGTCTTGAATTAATTTAGAATAATTTACTTTCAATATAGGCACATTGATTGAGACTATCACTTACAGTGGCCTTCTAAATGCCAAGCAAATATTCTTTATTATATCTTTTATCTGATTATATGTGAATAATTAACTGAAAAGAAATTTCTTTCACACTGTTACAAGGACTTTTAGTATTAAATTTTAAAAATTCTTTTAGTGGTGCATTTTAGGTAAACAATACCTTAACATTTATCATTGGGTGCTTGTACCTGTACATGATGTATCTTGGTTCTTATCTTTTTCTCCATTACTTTTGTGCCCTTCACCCCCCTCCACCCTTCCCTATTTACATAGACTTTGTTTCCAATTTTTTCTTTTCTCATAATTCTTTCCTTTCCCTTCTTTCCTGTCCCCTTCCCCTCCCACCACCTCTACCCCTCTGGACCTTTTCTTCCTATTTCAAATTATCAATTATTCATTTTGATCCTTATTTACACGTTCAGTTTCTCATACTACAGCAACAGTTTGGTATTTACATGTGTGTCCTATTTATTTCACTTAAGAGGATGGCCTCAATAGGCATCCGTTTAGCTATAAATGTCCCTAGTTTCTTGTTCTTTATGGCTGAGTAGTATTCCATTTTATAAAAAAAACCACATCTCCTTTATCCAGTTACAAACTGTGTCACTATAAACATGGGTGCACATGTAACACTGTGGTATGATTCTTTTAATTCTTTTGGGAAGATACCCAGCAGGGGAATAGCTGGCTCAAATGGAACCTCCAGCCCTAGTTCTTTGAGGTATCTCCAGTATTAAATTTTTAACATGATTTGAGTATTGTTTACTTTTGATCATTGTTTGGCTAGCTCACACTCTGTATATTAAAAAACATTAATATCTACTTCTAATTTATTACCTTTCCATTGTAGAGTGCTCTTTATCCTCATACTACAATATAGAATGAATTATAGCTCATTGATTTTCCATTATAATCATAGTTATTGTATATCCTTCATCATTTTATGTCATTTTCTCCTCTAGATAAATAATAATAATATTTTATTTTTTTAAATAATTTCTGAATAAAGGCAACCTTGTACTTTTTACCAGGCCTATTCT